TGTGGCATCGTCCCCTGGGCCCCGAGAGGAGGGGGGAGGAGGAACGGGGGGAGGAGGAGCGGAGGAGGAGGAGGAAGAGGAGGAAGAGTAGGAGGAGGAGGAGGAGGAGGAAGAGGGAGGAGGAGGAGGAGGAAGAGGAGGAGGAGGAGGAGGGGGAGGAGGGGGAGGAGGAGGAGGATGAGCAGGAGAAGGAGGGGGGAGGCGGAGAGGGGGAGGAGGAGAAGGAGGGGGGAAGGGCAAGCTAGGTGCGCTCGCGTCATATCTGACGTCCTACCCCTCCCTCCCATCCCTTACCATGGCGCTGATTTTCTCTATCCGCGGACGCGTGTCGTAGCGGACCTGTGGCTCCGCGCGCGCGTGCGTAGTGGGTGGTGGTGCACGTGCGTGCGTGCGTGCGTGTGTGCGTGGTTGCCGTGGTGGTGGTGGTGGTGGTGGTGGTGGTGGTGGTGGTGGTGGTGGTGGTGGTGGTGGTGGTGGTGGTGGTGGTGGTGGTGGTGGTGTGGTGGTGGTGGTGGTGGTGGTGGTGGTGCGGCGCGGTGGTGGCGGGCGGATGGGCGCGAGAAAAAGAGGCCCGCGCTGGGGCGAGAACGCCATCCTGAACGACGGAGGCCAAACACCGATCCGAAAATGAGGCCCACGCTGCAGCGGGAGCACGATTCGGAACGATTCGGGAGCAGAAATGAGGCCGGCGCCTCAGCGAGAGCAGCATTTTGGAAAAAAACGCAGGCGAAAACCCGTTTCCCAGGAATCCTGTGTGTAAAAACAATACGCGGGGGGGGGGGGGTCGGATATCTTCGGGACGCCATCAGGGGAAGTGGGAGAGTATTTTCATATTGTGTAATTGTGGAGGGAGGAGGCGGAGAGGGGGGGGGAGAAGGAGGGCGGAGGCGGAGAGGGGGGTGAGGAGCAGGAGGAGGGAAGGGGGGAAGGCGGCGAGGGAGGGGGGAAGGAGGAGGACAAGGAGCGATCTCGATACGCGCCACCCACCCCCTGCGACTGCGAAGGGGCTGCCCCCTACCCTGGGTCGTTCCCTGCCTCGCCCCCCCGCCTCCGCCCCCCTCCCGTGTAGAAACCTTTTCTCCCTCTCTCTCTCTCTCTCTCTCCCCCCAATCCACGCTCTCTCTCTCTCTCTCTCTCTTCTGGCTTCACCTTCCCCACCCCTCCCCTCCTCCTTTCGGCGGCGAGCGAGCGGGGGATGTGGAGAGGAAGAGGCCTGCTCAGAAGGCGTCGGGATTTCCCAGAAGCCCTCACGCCTCTTTACAGGTCTTCTATATCTTCGAGGAAGACTCGGGGAACTTCTCAGAAGGCCGGGGATTTTCCGAGCCTTCTGCGAAGGCTCGCCCCTTCTCACTTCCCCCCCGGTTTCGCCGCCGATACTAGACTCCTCCCCATTTCTCCTCCCATGTCCCCGTGTTCCCCTTTCCCTCGTTTCCCCCCTGGAAGCGGTGATCGGTGGTGGCGGCGGCGGCGGCCGTGGCGTTGGTAGCATCGGCGGTGGCAGCGCTGGCGGTGGCGGGGCAGCAACGGTCATGGTCGGCGCGATGACGATGGAAGCGGGAGCGGGGTGTTGGTAGTGGCGGCGGTGCCAAATACCGCCCAGCGCAACGCTGAGCTGTGACGGGGGATCGCGGCAGAAACGCCTCCTTGGGCATCGCCGCGCGCACGTGCTCCTTGAGGTCCACCATCTCCCGGTCCTGGGAGATGGCGGGATCGCGCGGAGGCCCGCGAATGAAAGGGAGCGCTGCCCAGACGCAGCAAGGAAAGGACACATCGGAGGGCTGCAGGCGTGGCTGGTCGGGTGCTCATCCCCTTGTGGCGCCACCCCCCACCCGACCGAGGGAGGTGGGAAACCTGGAGGGTGAGGGCCGCACGGGTGGGGGCGGACGCCCTTGGCGCACCTTCGAGACCCTGAGGCCTCTGCACCCGCGAGGAGGTCCATCGCCTTGATGAGTTTGGGACTGGTTGTTCGCTGTGCCCCACAATGACTGGAAACGCTCGCATATACGCGAATACACGCATACACACACGCACACACAGGCACACACACAATACACATAACGAGCAAACACACACACAGACAACGTACACACGCACACTCACATACACACACTCACACACACACACACACACACACGCACGCGCAGTGAACACAAACACGCGCACACACGCAGACACACACACACACACACACGCGCACACACACACAAACGCGCGCGCGCACGCGCGCACACACACACACACACACCGTGCGAGGGGGCCACACACAATACACCATATACCCGTCACGCACGACAACGAGAACCCAAACGAGATCGGAATAGCCAAGCCGACGTCGATGGTCAAAAGCCGGAGACGCTGTACAAGCCGGCGACCCCGACAAAAGACGAAGAGACAACCCCGTGTAGTGCCACGCTGAGCAGCGAGCGCAGCAAAGGCCACGGGGGCCACACACAATGCGCAGCACACAACACACACTCACACACGCACACGAAACCACACAAGCACACACACAACACACACACACACGAACACGCACATGCACACAAGCACGCACGCCCTCACGCCCACACGTACACCCACACAACGCATAGGAAATACCTGACGGGATCTAGGAGAGTGCCCCCAAGCTGGCAGCAAGGATTGGAAGATGGAACGATGTCGAGGGATGATGGGTCACTTCGTTGCCTAACCCGTAAGTAGAAACTTAAACACGCCGACTTTTTTCACGTCAGGAGGGTCAGATGCCCCAAAAAAGCTTGTCAAATCCATGTGGTGTTGACAACCACTGCCCGTGCCCGAATTTTTGGCAAACCTACGGGTAACCGTGAAACGGCTGAAGGCAGCAGTGTTATCGTCGATGCGATGTAGATGCCAAGTGGCAACAAAGAGGCGACGGGTCAAGAGATGGGGTCAAGACAGATACGCAGGATTGCACCGCGTCGCCGAGGCATCGCCGATGCATCGGCGACGTCGGCGTGGAGAGCCTCGGTGTCCACACCGAGCCGCATCGCCGACGCATCGGCGAGGCGGCAAGATCCTCCGGCCCCGTCCGCTCGGACCCCACGGGGGGGCGCCCGGGCACGAGGGCGGCGGGGCTCCCCTCCGAGGACGGGCCGAGCGCACCCGCCGCCGCTTGCCAGCGGGCGCTCGATCTCCCTCGCGCAGCCGCTCCACCATCTTGAGCGACCACGGGAGGCAGATCCTGCAGTCGACCTCGATTGGACAGGACACGCGAGAGGACACAAGACCCTTCCGAGGGCCACATCGCCATAGGAGTGTAAGAAGGCACGTGTCGCGAGGCAAAGGACACAAGGGTGCCCTTGAGCTGGCAAGGTCGACCTACTAATCCGGGTACTGCTGATGAGGACTGGGCGGGGGTTGAAAGGCCGAACTGCCGCCCGGGTGGCCGCAAAACGACGGGAGGACGCATGGCAAGACGGTCCTCCAGCCTCAGTCCGCAATCTTGGAGGTACCTGCGCAGCCCATCGCACGCCAGGGTGGTGCAACGTGGGCGCCTTGAATTCATTGCCACTACTTGTGCAAGGTGCCGCCATGTTGCAGCCGTGCGGTCAGGATGATTCGCACGAGCGCGTTGCCCACACCAACTGGAGTGCTGACTGAGTCATTCACTGTGCAAACACATCTTGACAGCTTCACTCCGCTCGCGCCGCGTGAAATAGATGGCTGGCCTTCGACAACAACCTCGGGTCACCATCTGCGTGAGACTGAGACTGCCGACATTCTGCAAACGGATATTCCGATCCCCCTCCAGAGCCGTGCTCCCTTTCAGCGGAGCGCCCATCGAAGAACATTCCCCTCCCTACCCCGAGCACGGGTAAGGCGAAAAAGCCCGCCGCTCCCGCACACTGTGTTTGCGCACTCGGGGGATCCCTGGGCGGTTTAACTTCTGCATGCCTTTGTTTCGGCTCGGAACATCTTTGGCCGCTGCAAAGTGGCGCTCTCGCCCCCTGGCGCCTGCCATGCTCCTGTACCGCTGCAATCTTGCAGCCAGGAAGCTGCGGGCCGTTCGGAATACGGTCGGGCGTGTCGCAGCGGTGGCCCCTTCGACACGCTACCCCTTTCAAGCCGATGGCGGACCGCTCTGCTTCGTGGGACGGGCGGAAGGCTGCGAAACGCTGGGCACATTGATGCTCGAGACTTGGGACGTGGTCAACGTGTCGCGCCGAACCGTGGTGGGCCGGAACTGGCGGCGCGAAACGCAGAGCACGCGCTCCAGACCGTCAGCGCGCAAACCATGCAATGGGAGGCGGGTCGACGTGATCGGGTTCCGCCCCACCCGAGAGATGGGCAGTGAGCGGAAAGGGGGTGGAGACTCTTGAGGCAGGATGGCACTTTCAGAGTAGGCTGCAACCTGGGAGCCAAGCAATAGAGGAAGCGCAGGCTGCATAAAACATGATCGCAACCTTGAGGAGGTCCGGGGCGGATTTCCCAGATGTGCACTGGGCCCTCCACTGGCGGGGCTTCTGGCGCCGCCCCCCCTGTTCTGATCCCTTTCCTTGATGGCCCATGCTAGGCGCGACCGATGTTCGGGGGCGTCCAAGAGGGGAGGCCTCCAAGAGGGGGGGGTGCGCAACATGGCTCGCGGCACGTGCGCGGCCCAAAGGGGGGCTGAAGGACGTGTCGAAAGAGTACGAAGGGCCTACGGAGTTCATGACATCGCCCCTTCAACCCTCCCGAACCAAAAACTTAATGGGAAGACTCCGTCCTGCCCACCCCGCCACCAACCCCAAACCAAAGCTGGCCCGTGGAGCTGCGCTCGGCACTGGAAGGGGGGCAGGGGGGCAACGGACCCGACATTGCAGCGATCCAAAGCAGACCGCATGACCCCATGCCTAATCCCATCATTTTGCTTCGGGAGGGTGGCAGTCATCACCCCCCCCTCTCGGCCGCCCCCAAGGCGTTCTGCGGGGCGCGGGGGGGCCGCTGGGCACCCCAGCCACCGCTGCGCCGCGTCGGTGTTGCGCACGTCCGCGAGCCGCCTGGCGGGCGACCGCCGGCGGGGGCCGCCGCTCCCACAGCGCGGGCGCGGTGGATCGGCCCCCCTCGGCGGAGGGGAGCGCCATGCTCCGCAGCGCAGAGCCCCTCTGGGTCACAAGCGTGTGGAGATCCACGGTGAAATCGCCGCCTTGGAGCTACGTAAATCCCACCCCGCCAGGCGGTGCGAGCGACGAGGGGCCACGGCAGGGGGGGGGCCCTCTCCAGGGGGGGAAGCCTCGAGCCGGAAGCGGCGCTGCGCCGCCGAGAGGTCGGCGACAGACCCCCTGGACGACAGATCCGCGCGCTCCTGGGCGGGGTGGGCCGTCGGGCCCCATAGCGGCGATCTCGGTGGGCGACTGGGGATCGATGCGTGCCCCCATCTGGACTCCTCCTCTTCTACCTCCTCCTCCTCCGCCTCCGCCTCCTCCTCCTCCGCCTCCGCCTCCTCCTCCTCCTCCGCCTCTTCCTCCTCCTCCTCCTCCTCCTCCGCCTCCTCCTCCTCCTCCGAGGCGAAGGGGGCCGAGGTGGGCGAGGGGACAGGTTTCCTGGTGCTTGCAAGCTCTCGCCCATCTCCTCCGCAGCACGTCCCCATGCGTTCTGCACGCGCTCCACGCCTGCCCTCGCCTTCGGTCTCTCGCTCTCTCGCTCTCTCACTCTGTGTCTCTGTGCTGCAGACCGTTTACATACATCCAGCCCTTGTTGATTGAGCTCGCAGCTGCAGGTGTACACGCATACGCAGTTTGTCAATATGTACATGTATATACATGTGTATGTTTTCCAATATGGTACTCCCTACAGGGACCCACCTCATAATACGTAGCACCCCGCAATTGCGGATAAGAGTGAGGGGGCGGGCGCGGGCGACGCGGGCGTCGTCGAGCCGGCGGACCTCGTGGCCCCCACCTTCCCTGTCGATGGCGCTCTCCTCCTCCTCCTCCTCCTCCTCCTCCTCCTCCTCCTCCTCCTCCTTCCTCCTCCTCCTCGTCCTCCTCATCGTCATCGTCATCCTCCTCCTCCACCTCGTCCTCCTCCTCCTCTTCTTCCTCGTCCTCCCTCTCCCCCCCTCGTCCTTTCATCATCGTCCTCCCATTGTCGTCCTCCCCCTCATCGGCCTCCATCATCGTCCTCCCATTGTCGTCCATCATCATCATCCTCCCCCTCCTCCCCCTCCTCGTCCTCCTCCTCCCCCTCCTCCCCCTCCTCCCCCTCCTCGTCCTCCTGCTCCTCCTCCTTTTCTTTCTCCACATGATCCTTACATCCTCTCTTCTTCCGCGTTCTCCTCGTCCCCTGTTTACTCCTCCTGCCTCCCCCTCCTTTCCCAAAATAACTGCAACGCAATCTTTTTTCCCACTTTATGCTCCCCGCCTTCTCTGATCAAGGCAACTCGCCCGGGCAGAGTTGCTGGACGGGCTGGTGCGGATGCGCGGGCTTGAGGTCCTTGCGGGCTCAGACGGCATGCAAAAATCCGCCGCCGCGCTTGTGCGGCATTGGTTTGTTCAGTGAACGTGGTTTAGGTCGCGAGTGGGTCGCGGGCTCTCCACCTCCACCTGGAAGGAATGCAAAAGGAGCCCGCCGCAGGCGCCAATAAAATTGGCTTGTACATTGAACGTGGTTTGGGTCGCGGGTGGGGCGCGGGTTCTCCACCGGGAGGGAATGCAAAAGATGCCCGCCGCAGGCGCCGAAAAAATTGGTTTGTACCCTGAACGTGGTCGCGGGTGGGCCACGGGCTGTCAACCTGAAACGAATGCAAAAGATGCCCGCCGCAGGCGCCGAAAAAAATGGTTGTTGTACCCTGAACGTGGTTTGGGTCGCGGTATGGTCGCGAGTTGGTCACGGGGTGGGTCGCGGGCTCTCCACCTGGAAGGAATGGAAAAAAAGCCTGCCGCAAGCGTTGAAAATGGTGGTTTGTACCTTGAACGTGGTTTGGGTCGCGGGTGGGTCGCGGGTGGGTCGCGGGGTAGGTCGCGGGTGGGTCGCGGGTGGGTCGCGGGTGGGTCGCGGGTGGGTCGCGGGGTGGGCCGCGGGCGGGTCGCGTGGTGGGTCGCGGGTAGGTCGCGGGGTGGGTCGCGGGGTGGGTCGCGAGGTGGGTCGCGGGGTGGGTCGCGGGTGGGTCGCGGGTGGGTCGCGGGTGGGTCGCGGGGTGGGTCGCGGGGTGGGTCGCGGGTGGGTTGCAGGGCGGGTTGCGGGTGGGACGACGACAATTAACAACAACAAACAACAACAAACAACAACAAACAACAACAACGAGAATCCGCACCGCGAAATTCCACTTCGGCCACGCACCCAGGGACAGTGAATGACCGCTCGGCCCCCTCATTCTGATCTTTTCCTCTCCTCATCTGCTTTGCTGTCTTGTCGGCCGCGATGATTTTGGTTTCTTGGGGAAGTCACACGGGTTAGTCATGTCCTGTTGGGTTTGATTGGTTGTTTTACAGCAGTCCCAGGTAGCCCCCCCACACGGAGACCCCATCGTCACTCATGCAAGCCCAAGAGCTGTTTAACAACGAGGTGCGTTCATATGTTGATATTAATGTTGATGTAGTGCTGTTGCAAGGGCGTCGGCAAACGAACACAATAAGAAAACGGTATAGTTTAAACGGGGCCCCGCGGTTGTTCATATGTTGATGTAGATGTTGGTTGCGATGTTGCAAGCGTCGACGCTGGTGGACGAAGATGCTGACGTAGACCCTTATGCAGACGCAGCGTTTCGTTTGGACTCAATGACATCTGCTCCATTCCAAACGATTAATACTCATTCCTATCGACCATGGTTCTGGTTACAAGTGAGCACAATGGTTGGTTACTACTGGTTCCTTCAAACTCCGATTGCTTCGTACTACGTCCTCTTGTTTCCTAATGGCTTGGTTTAGTTCCTATTGATTCCTAATGGTGCCTGTCGGCTCCAATCGATCCCTATTGGTGCCTATTGTTTTCTACGGCTTCCTGAAGATCCCAACGATTCCTATTGAGTCCGACCGGTTCCTCGCGATCCCTAGACTAGGGATCGCTAGGCCAATCCTGGAATCAGTAGGAGTGACTAGGCTAGCCACTCCCACTGACTCCTATTCATGTTCTGTAATGGCTCATGGTTCCTTGTGAGTTCTAATGGTTCCTATTGGTTCCTGTGGATTCCCAGTAGTTCCTGCTGATTCCTGTTTATTCACTGTGGTTCCGTCCGATCCCTCTGTATACGGATTACAATGTGAAAACGGACAAAGAAAGAAAGAGAGCAAAGGGATAGAGAGAGAGAGAGGGAGAGAGAGAGAGAGAGAGAACAAAAAAAAAATAACACCGGGAGGGCGAATTACTGGTGTGGATGAAGAAGGGGGGGTACTTCCTGCACTTTTGTGGTCAACGGCCTCGTGAAGCGGGTCACAAGGCGCCCAAGATCCTTAGCCGGGCCACGACTAGGCAGCGGAAGCCCCAGACAGGCGCAACAAACGGGCGGCAGCTCAGAAGGGCGAAAAGAACCGGTAGACCCATTCCCGGTGGCGTCCGAAAATCCCGATGGCTACCAGCGAGTAGAGGCAGCCAAAATGGCGCGGCGGCGCGACCAAAATCACGTTGAGGTCGATCACTCGGTGTGAGTCAGTCAGACGGCGCTGTCAGAGACGAACGAGACCGAGAAACACCCCCACATGACATCCGTGAAGTGGACGAACACAGAGTAGTTCCAGCACGCGAAGCTTTTGATTTTCTTGGGAGAGTCACACGGATCATTCGTTTCCCGTTCGACGCGATTGGTTGGCCCACGAAACCTGTGACACAACAAAGGAGAAGAGCAAACAAACAAACTCCGGTGAGGACACCAGGCGAACAAAATTCATAGGTTTTTTGGATCCGAGGCGGGAGGTGGGGGGAGGGCTGGCCGAGGAAGGATTGGTTTTGCAATGACAGCCACAGGTTGTCTTCATGTGGGCCACGAAACCTGTGACAGCACCAAGGAAAAGCCTGCGACACTACCAACAAAACAAACAGTACAAATATTTGAACTCCGAGGCGGGGGAGGACGGCAGAAGTCTAGCCCTCCCTCACCCAACCCCCCCCGCCTCGGATCCCAAAGACCTTGGATGTTGTTCTTGTTTTCTGGGTTGTCTCACCAGTTGTTGTTTGTTTGTTTGCTGGTAGTGTCACAAGTTGCGCGGCCCAGCATTCAGGCATCATGCGAAGGTCCAACAGGAAACCAATCATGCTTGTGACTCTCTCAGAACACAAACAAACAAACAAAAACACGTCGCACGAAGAGAAGGGCGGCCTTCTCCTCCACCCCTGTTTTTTTGTTTCTCTCTCTCTCTCTCTCCCTCTCTCTTTCTCATGAAGGAACCAATAGGAATCAATAGGAATGGCTTAGAGCACTAAGGGAATCACACGGAATACGTAGGAGTCACTAGGAACAGGGAATCAAAAAGAATTACCAGGAATCGATTGGCATCGAAGATGAATCACTAGGGTCAACCTGAATCAATGTGAAGTTGGGATAAGTACAACGCACTAGGGATTAACCAGATTCAATCGGCGCCAGTAGGAGCACGCAGGAATCAATAGTAACCAACAGGAATCACGAAGAACCAAAACGAATCAACAAGGGTCAACCGTAATCAATGTGAAGCAATGGGAGCCGCTAGGAACTATAGGAACACACATATGTCGGAGGCTGGGGGGTGAGATCGCAGTGAAACGGAGGGCCCCCGCCGGGAAATCGGTTTCGGTTTCGTGTTCGTGTCGTGCGTGCGGGCGAGGCGAAGTTGCGCGCGATCCTCCTGTAGCTAGGCCGAAGTAGAAGCGAAAGTCCGTTTCCCGTCCGCCGGTGGCCAGGAGGTGTCCCAGTTGGGCCAGGCGGTGTCCCCGGTGTCCGGGGTGTCCCGGACGTCCCGGCGCTAACGCATGTCGCGAATTTTATAATTCATTTTTGTCGGCGCCTGCGGCGGGCTTTTTACCCAATCCAGCTTACCTTATCCAATCCATCTTGTGCAATCCAATCCATCTTGTCTTATCCAACCCA